ATTAAATGAATTGAGAGCCTTTCTTAGTGGTTACCTGACATGGTTAAGCTCAAGGCAGGAGAACAGTGAGCGATAAAGCAGAATTGCCGGACATCCAGTGTGCTGGTCTCCTGAGGACAAGGCAGAGGTACCAGGGTCAGCTGAAGCTGTTAACCCACTGTCCATAACATGTTCATCAGCTCCTGAATCAACAGACCCTGCCAGCTCCAGGGAACTACCAGAAATAGTCAAACAGGCATGAGACTGCCTCTAGTGGACACTAGAGGAACTGCTGTGTTTTAACCTGTCTACACATTACCATTTGATTTTGAGTCTCCAGGCTCAACAAAGACCTCACAAACCCCCAAACCTGGACTCTGTTGATAACGTTACCATGGAGACGCAAGCTTTGTTTCTTTGGGTTATCAGACATTCTCTGATTGGTTCAGACATTTGACGGCAGTTTGACCTCTGACCTTCACAAGTGCTTATGTCATCGTGTTCTGAGTGTGTGTGTACGTGTGTGTGTGATATGCTGTATAATGCGGCTGATTAGTCGTCTTTTTGTTTTCAGTGAATCGACTTTCTAAGGTTGAAAACGGCATCAGCAGCCATTCATTCACACGCACAAGCAAAAAGTTAAAAGGCAGTGTGTGTATGCGTTCCAGTGAAGCTCTCAGCTGTAATTAAAGCTCATTAAAGTTTATTGAAGCCGTTTGAAATGCTAGCGTCTGATTGGCTGACAGGTTAAGTACCGGCTGAGGCTTCTGGTGCGACGGCAGCAGCTGCTTCCTGTTTATTAAAGAAACGCTCGCTTCTCAACAAGACGGAGAGGTGTGTGATGTCATCACCGCTTCCTGTCAGCGACTGAAGACACCTGCACACTCACCTTCATAAAACAGACACACACACTCATTGACGACAGCATCGCGCAAATTATTCAATGTTTTTGTGCTGCTCAATAAAAAATCAGTCACTGTAGCAAAACATGCGAAAGAATGCAGTTTATAAAGTCGGTCTTCAGTTCAGATCTAAGACAAATTTAAAGCCTTTATGAGACATTTAACAACAAGAATAACAAATTTAAAAAGCAAATGTTTGTCAAGATCGTCCACAAACACATCAGCCAGATGTGTCCTCCAAGTCGTTTAACATCCCTTTAAATTCATCCAATCAGAGTAGCTCGTTTAGTCTGCATCATTTTGTAATTCACTCCCAAGTAAAGGGAGCAACAAACCTTTTCACCGGTTCAGTTCTGATGTTTGGAACAGAAAGTAAGAAAAGGTCCTGGGATCAAAGATTGCTAAAATGAATCATACATGAAATATTTTTACAATGAGTGAGACTTTCAGACGATAAGAGATGATCTCTCAATAAATATTCAAAAATCTGGGGGCCAACAGCCTTCCGATGATGTCCCGTGTGCGGGGGCTGTGGTCACAGCGGCTGTGAGTTTGGGTCGGACCTCAGCCCTTTGCTGCATGTCGTCCCCAGCTCTCTCCAGATGTGTCCTGTCTCTTTTCAGCTGTCTGACCCAATAAATGAAAAAATGTCCCAAAAATAAATTAATACAAGGTTTAAAAATCTACTTTGACATAACAGCACATACTCATCCATAAGTATGAGCAAGTTTATCTTTAGTTAGTGACGAGCAAAGCCTCCCCTGTGTGTGTGTGTGTGTGTGTGTGTGTGTGTGTGTGTGTGTGTGTGTGTGTGTGTGTGTGTGAGTGTGTGAATGCCTGAGCTGTCATTCATCAGCTCTCATTAAGGTTTTACTTCCTGAAAGCTTTTCTTAACAAAGAGCTAATGAATGAAAGGAACTGCTAATCTGACTGCAGCAGCTGCTACACACACACACACACACACACACACACACACACACACACACACACACACACACACACACACACATCCTCTCAAAGTGTGTAATAGCTGAGGACCAGTTTAACACCAGGACTTGTGCTCTGAACTCAACTTGTGAATGTTTCCAAAAAAGTCGTCCCTCTCATATATTTGTTCTTTGATTTATTCTAAAACGCAGAACTTGTTTTATTACCATCACAAGAACCATCATAAGAACGATGTTAGAACCATCATCAGAACGATGTTAGAACCATCATCAGAACGATGTTAGAACCATCATCAGAACAATGTTAGAACCATCATCAGAACCATCATCAGAACGATGTTAGAACATCATCAGAACGATGTTAGAACCATCACAAGAACCATCATAAGAACGATGTTAGAACCATCATCAGAACGATGTTAGAACCATCATAAGAACGATGTTAGAACCATCATAAGAACGATGTTAGAACCATCATCAGAACGATGTTAGAACCATCATCAGAACGATGTTAGAACCATCATCAGAAACATGTTAGAACCATCATAAGAACGATGTTAGAACCATCATCAGAACGATGTTAGAACCATCATCAGAACAATGTTAGAACCATCATCAGAACGATGTTAGAACCATCATAAGAACGATGTTAGAACCATCATCAGAACGATGTTAGAACCATCATCAGAACGATGTTAGAACCATCATCAGAAACATGTTAGAACCATCATAAGAACGATGTTAGAACCATCATCAGAACGATGTTAGAACCATCATCAGAACAATGTTAGAACCATCATCAGAACGATGTTAGAACCATCATCGGAACAATGTTAGAACCATCATCGGAACGATGTTAGAACCATCATCGGAACAATGTTAGAACCATCATAAGAACGATGTTAGAACCATCATAAGAACGATGTTAGAACCATCATCAGAACGATGTTAGAACCATCATCAGAACGATGTTAGAACCATCATCAGAAACATGTTAGAACCATCATAAGAACGATGTTAGAACCATCATCAGAACGATGTTAGAACCATCATCAGAACAATGTTAGAACCATCATCAGAACGATGTTAGAACCATCATCGGAACAATGTTAGAACCATCATCGGAACGATGTTAGAACCATCATCGGAACAATGTTAGAACCATCATCGGAACGATGTTAGAACCATCATCGGAACAATGTTAGAACCATCATCAGAACGATGTTAGAACCATCATCGGAACGATGTTAGAACCATCATCGGAACAATGTTAGAACCATCATCAGAACGATGATAGAACCATCATCGGAACGATGTTAGAACCATCATCAGAACCATCATCAGAACAATGTTAGAACCATCATAAGAACGATGTTAGAACCATCATCAGAACGATGTTAGAACCATCATAAGAACGATGCTAGAACCATCATCGGAACAATGTTAGAACCATCATAAGAACCATGTTAGAACCATCATCAGAACCATGTTAGAACCATCATCAGAACGATGTTAGAACCATCATCAGAACGATGATAGAACCATCATCAGAACCATGTTAGAACCATCATCAGAACGATGTTAGAACCATCATCAGAACGATGATAGAACCATCATCAGAACGATGTTAGAACCATCATAAGAACGATGTTAGAACCATCATCAGAACGATGTTAGAACCATCATCAGAACGATGATAGAACCATCATCAGAACGATGTTAGAACCATCATAAGAACGATGTTAGAACCATCATCAGAACCATGTTAGAACCATCATCAGAACGATGTTAGAATTATCACAAGACCAATTTTAAGAACTATTTTAAGAACCAGAATCAGAACCGTCATAAGAACCATCATTGGAAAAAAAACATCAAACCAACTTCTCTGTAACTCTGGGGAGTCACGTCATGTGTGGACTACTTTTTTTTGTCACCAAATGTTTATCGTTGCCATGGAAACATCGGGTGTTAAGTCAAAGGCCGGTACATAAGGAGCGTGAGCTGCTACTAGAAGCTGCCTTACTGTCGCTGTATGTTCTGCTGTGATAAAAACATCATGTAGATTAAACTCGGATACATTAGATCGTCTCAACTACAGTCAACTCAGCAGCAGAGAGAGCTCCCATGATTCCCCGCGTGGCGGAATTTATATACTTTGTGTTTACTTTGTTTTTTTTGTCAATGTGCAATTTGACAACACCATTTCTTCTGACACTAAAATTAAAAAGAATAAATAGTAATTGAAAACCGACACAGATGCAGTGGCGGTTCTCTCAGAAAGAGGACTTGAGATTAATGTGCTGCAGGAAAAAGATGCAACTGTATATGTGCACTGACGTACAACCGCACAGGCAGGCATTAACACCTGTCCCGCCACATTTGAAAGTTCTTTCTATGCTGAACAAAAGGTGGAATAATCAGCTGAAAGCAACAAGCCTGCCTAAACATAGTCTGGTTCCCAACTCTGGTACATGGAAAATGATTGTTTGTTAATTTGTTTTTGTTTTTTTACAGCTCCTGTGATGGACTCATGAATCTGTCTGAATGTAGAACTTAAAGATCTTTATTATCTAAGAAAGTAAAGCAGACCATCAGTGAGAAGTTTAATGGTTTTCATTTAGTTCATTTAAATGCCCAGACCTCCTTTGTTTATATTTTCCACTACTCAAATTAACAGATATGTTTTAGAACAAAATCAGGACACAGCCTACACCATAGTCTGTAAATCTGAATGTTTGAAGCCTGAGTGACGTCCCTCGTCTGTTCCTGCAGGGGGCGCTGGAGTCCCATCGATGGCGGTCTCCATGCTGGAAATGCTTTATTCATTTTTTCTTATAAATATTTGTCTCATCTTTTCACTGCTGATTAACCGTTTCTAACCTCAAAATGAAAGGAAGTTTGATGTTTAAATTTGATGCTTTTAATGTTGGGAGTCTTCGTCCTGTGCAGCTTTAACGTGTGACTCAGGAAGTCTTCTCTGATCTCTTGTGTGACTAAACAGCTGATGGCAAACTAAAATGTGTTTTCTCTGTTTGCCATGAAGACTCCTCCATCTTTATTAACCTTCATTAACTTTTATTTCACAGCTGCCCCCCCCCAGCTGTTAATGAGCAGCTCCAATAAAAACCTTTTATTTCCTCTCCTCCTCCATCAGCAGACTCAGCCAGCGTTTGTCTCAAACAGATTTTATTCAAACTAACAATTAAAAATAGCTTGATGGTGTTTACATTCAGAAAGGATCAGCTGAGAACAGTCTGAACTCTTCACACAGTCTGTACAGCGTCTGACCGAGGCTCAGCACGAGGTGAACGTCTTCCAGAAGAAGTTCTTGCAGCCGGCCTTCCTCTCTCGGGGGGCGAGAAGCGGCCCGCTGCCGGCCGCTCGCTCCAGATCTACGTGGACGTCTTCAGCTTCTCCTTCGTTCAGAGGGAAGTTTTCCTCCTCCAACGCCTCGTTCTCCATCTGCAGGATGTCAGAGAGGAGCAGCTCCGCCAGAGAGGCCCGAGACACGTCCTGAAAACACAGAGAGGGAAACAGGAACATTAACACAGACCTTTAACTCAGAGGTTTTTTAGGTAAACAGACTGTAACGTCTGCAACAGGTAAACAGACTGTAACGTCTGCAGCAGGTAAACAGGCTGTAACGTCTGCAGCAGGTAAACAGACTGTAACGTCTGCAGCGGGTAAACAGGCTGTAACGTCTGCAGCAGGTAAACAGACTGTAACGTCTGCAGCGGGTAAACAGACTGTAACGTCTGCAGCGGGTAAACAGGCTGTAACGTCTGCAGCGGGTGAACAGGCTGTAACGTCTGCAGCGGGTAAACAGACTGTAACGTCTGCAGCGGGTGAACAGGCTGTAACGTCTGCAGCGGGTAAACAGACTGTAACGTCTGCAGCGGGTAAACAGACTGTAACGTCTGCAGCGGGTAAACAGACTGTAACGTCTGCAGCGGGTAAACAGACTGTAACGTCTGCAGCGGGTGAACAGGCTGTAACGTCTGCAGCGGGTAAACAGACTGTAACGTCTGCAGCGGGTGAACAGGCTGTAACGTCTGCAGCGGGTAAACAGACTGTAACGTCTGCAGCGGGTAAACAGACTGTAACGTCTGCAGCGGGTAAACAGACTGTAACGTCTGCAGCGGGTAAACAGACTGTAACGTCTGCAGCGGGTAAACAGACTGTAACGTCTGCAGGTAAACAGACTGTAACGTCTGCAGCGGGTAAACAGACTGTAACGTCTGCAGCGGGTAAACAGACTGTAACGTCTGCAGGTAATCAGACTGTAACGTCTGCAGGTAAACAGGCTGTAACGTCTGCAGCAGGTAAACAGACTGTAACGTCTGCAGGTAAACAGACTGTAACGTCTGCAGCAGGTAAACAGACTGTAACGTCTGCAGGTAAACAGACTGTAACGTCTGCAGCAGGTAAACAGACTGTAACGTCTGCAGCAGGTAAACAGGCTGTAACGTCTGCAGAGGGTAAACAGACTGTAACGTCTGCAGAGGGTAAACAGGCTGTAACGTCTGCAGCGGGTAAACAGACTGTAACGTCTGCAGGTAAACAGACTGTAACGTCTGCAGGTAAACAGACTGTAACGTCTGCAGCGGGTAAACAGACTGTAACATCTGCAGGTAAACAGACTGTAACGTCTGCAGCGGGTAAACAGACTGTAACGTCTGCAGCGGGTAAACAGACTGTAACGTCTGCAGCGGGTAAACAGACTGTAACGTCTGCAGGTAATCAGACTGTAACGTCTGCAGGTAAACAGGCTGTAACGTCTGCAGCAGGTAAACAGACTGTAACGTCTGCAGGTAAACAGACTGTAACATCTGCAGCGGGTAAACAGACTGTAACGTCTGCAGCAGGTAAACAGACTGTAACGTCTGCAGGTAAACAGACTGTAACGTCTGCAGCAGGTAAACAGACTGTAACGTCTGCAGCAGGTAAACAGGCTGTAACGTCTGCAGCGGGTAAACAGACTGTAACGTCTGCAGCAGGTAAACAGACTGTAACGTCTGCAGCGGGTAAACAGACTGTAACGTCTGCAGCGGGTAAACAGACTGTAACGTCTGCAGGTAATCAGACTGTAACGTCTGCAGGTAAACAGGCTGTAACGTCTGCAGCAGGTAAACAGACTGTAACGTCTGCAGGTAAACAGACTGTAACATCTGCAGCGGGTAAACAGACTGTAACGTCTGCAGCAGGTAAACAGACTGTAACGTCTGCAGGTAAACAGACTGTAACGTCTGCAGCAGGTAAACAGACTGTAACGTCTGCAGCAGGTAAACAGACTGTAACGTCTGCAGCAGGTAAACAGGCTGTAACGTCTGCAGAGGGTAAACAGACTGTAACGTCTGCAGAGGGTAAACAGGCTGTAACGTCTGCAGCGGGTAAACAGACTGTAACGTCTGCAGGTAAACAGACTGTAACGTCTGCAGGTAAACAGACTGTAACGTCTGCAGCGGGTAAACAGACTGTAACATCTGCAGGTAAACAGACTGTAACGTCTGCAGCAGGTAAACAGGCTGTAACGTCTGCAGTAGGTAAACAGACTGTAACGTCTGCAGCGGGTAAACAGACTGTAACGTCTGCAGATAAACAGACTGTAACGTCTGCAGGTAAACAGACTGTAACGTCTGCAGGTAAACAGACTGTAACATCTGCAGGTAAACAGACTGTAACGTCTGCAGCGGGTAAACAGACTGTAACGTCTGCAGCGGGTAAACAGACTGTAACGTCTGCAGCGGGTAAACAGACTGTAACGTCTGCAGCGGGTAAACAGACTGTAACGTCTGCAGGTAAACAGACTGTAACGTCTGCAGGTAAACAGACTGTAACGTCTGCAGCGGGTAAACAGACTGTAACGTCTGCAGCGGGTAAACAGACTGTAACGTCTGCAGCGGGTAAACAGACTGTAACGTCTGCAGGTAAACAGACTGTAACGTCTGCAGGTAAACAGACTGTAACATCTGCAGCAGGTAAACAGACTGTAACGTCTGCAGCAGGTAAACAGACTGTAACGTCTGCAGGTAAACAGACTGTAACGTCTGCAGGTAAACAGACTGTAACATCTGCAGCAGGTAAACAGACTGTAACGTCTGCAGCAGGTAAACAGGCTGTAACGTCTGCAGCAGGTAAACAGGCTGTAATGTTTAACTCCTTTAACCTCACAGGACAGAGGAGTTACTCGTCTACCTCTGTCTCGATGTGTTGGATTATTTGTGTCATTGTGAAACAAACTAAATGCTGGAGGCTGAGCTGGACCACTTACTCCTGTGTTCTGTGGACTTAAAATGACTGTTTTTGTCAATGGAGTCTGGTGGGCTTTTTTTTTTTTAAATCAACTAAACAAACAAGAGGAGCCGTACAGAACGATAAAGAATGCAGACTAACTATTTGTATAATTTATCTGAGCTACAAGGCAACATTCGGTTGTCATGTTTGGTTCACTATGACTCGGCTCAACAACTAAATATGAAACTAAAAAGTTGAATTTCTTTAAATGATTCTGGAGCACAGAATCAG